TTAATGATCTCGGATGCGACACGTGGATCGATACCGACACGACGAAAAGGTGAAATCGCGCCGTATTATTCCGTGCAACATTTAATTAACGGGATAAATCAACCGCCGACTTAATTCGACCGTAAACACGCGAGCGACGTTTTCGCGAGTGACAGCGCGCGTCTATATAGTCGACGAATCGGAATGACAGATCGCCTTTATTGTTCCACAAGATTAAGTAGCCCTGAGATAAAGGACGGTTGTAAAACCACCCACAATGCTATCGGTCGTGCCCGGCGAGCAACGAAAGAGAAGCGCCGCAGTCCCAATTGTCGACTTTTAATAGCTTCGTACACGAAAAGGAAGGCCCGTGCCAGGTTCCTGGTGTCGCGCATCGTCGGCTTCGCTTTCCATTCCGCAGTATCCTGCGTATGCGAGCACGCTTCGGGATATTTGCCGAACGAACTCGAGTGTCCTTGACACGAATGGCGCGGTGTACGTAGGAACGCGATCGGTATCCCTCGCGGGGGACACGGCACTGTAATTTCATAATTTACTCGCGATTCGCGCAACCGATATCTTATCGCGATTTATGATTTAGATACTCCCCGAGGAAAGCACGGTTTGATACTGTCGTCGCGAACGAGAGATACGCGCAATCGACGGCCGTATATACGACTCCGTGTACGAATAGAACTTTATGGACGATATAAAGCCGTACCTCGTGGCATGTATCCTGCATTCTGCGCTTTCGATCATCGCGGACGGCACTCCGAAAGACAGAGCCACAATTGTGATGAAAGCGGACTTTTATGCACCAGTCGTCATTTACAGCGATAACGGAGCAACGGAACCTCCTCTGCATTTAAAGGTCGAAAAGATATAGCGCCTGGAACTCCAAGAAATTCTATCGAGTCTGCAGACCCTATTATCGCAGGGAAAAAAGTCAAGTGTGTCCTCTGGGACCTAAGATAAAGGGGAGCGAGATCCAAGTCGGGTCGGCTCAGCCGGCTTGAAAACCGGCCGGCCGATCACACGCACGGAAAGAATAATCGTGCGGCATTTGGCGTTCATTGTCGTCCGTTTGCGACAGAAGTTCACGTCGACACTCCCACGCTTGTCTCAGAATTGCCGAATTACTTTTTTTCTTGCGGCGCGGCGCGAGCGTAATTTTTTCTCGTTGTTTGCGAGCGTGAGATGGATCGGCTACGCAACCTGTCGATTACCATTCAAGTAGACAGCTGAAGCATATAGAACATACGGAACGATCCGTAAGGGTCGTTAGGTCACGAGACACTTGCAAGTGACGAGAAAAACAGAGATAGAAAGAAGTGGTGGAGAAGGAGAAAAAGGGGTAAACGGACAGCCGGCGCTGTAGAGGAGACGTCAGATTAGAAGCCGCGACTTGTGACCGGCATACATATTTTTTATTATATAAATTGGCGCACGAAGGTCTTCCCTGGAGAGAAGTTATCGCATTAATGCCTATTACCACACGCATTCCCTGCCGCGCTTGCCGCGGGCGAACTTGTCGGACGTGATTTCGTCGCACCAATTTTCCTCCGTGAACGTCAGCAAGTCGTGCGGAAAGAAGTGTAAATTGAATGAATCCGAAGCGTCTTATCGATCGCTGTCGGCACGATGACACAAAGTCACTTTTCAGGAGTACATGCAGAATATCGCGATATTGTCCAAGCCACAAGACGAACGTCAGCTTCTCGCGAAAGTTATTTCTTGCATACAAAGTATTACAGATGCTGCGGTACTTGTTTCTTCAATGAGACGGTTTCTTGTTAGATTAACCGGTCCCCTTTCCATAATTAAAACTCGAGACGGTTTCTTGGGTTATCGGAAGCTGATCTTTTCCATAATTAAAATCCGATGAATTTTTCACTTAATCAATGATGTTAATTCGATCATACACCATGAACTTTTCATGTAAACGTGATAATTACGCACCAAAACAAAATTCGATTGCATTAACCAGAAAGGAAACAACTAGCATTTTGGTTGAAAGAAACAGAATTTCTAGTTTTCTTTACGACTCAAATGTGATTCTTATAACCAGAAATTTTGTTTCTTTCAATCAAAATACATCTAGCTGTTCCCTCTTCCTGGTTAATACAAACTTTTTTCCGGGTAGTAATCAATATTTAATTTATATTTTGCTAGTATATTGTTCCCTATTTTTATCATTATAATTATGTCTGTCGTTTATGGATTTTTTTTACTATTACTTATGTATATTAAAAGGTTTTCCCGTTAATAAAGATCATTAATAATATTATTAATTTACGTTATTTTACAAAGTCGTTTCTTCGATATCGTATTTATTAGTTTTAATGAAACGAGAAGATCGCTGATCGGAATAGTGCATATAAGTAAGATTTGTCTTGGTCGCTACATATCGAGGGGAACGCTGTGAGCAACAAAGATAAAATAAATTCATTCTTGCTACGAGAGGAAAAGTCGGCCGTCGCAATACCGTAAAAGTTACCGAGATGATATCGATGTTAGAAATCCAATACATATTTTCCAATCGCATTACGCGTTTCAGTTTTCTATCGTGCGCCAATAAAGTAAACACCTGCGCTCTACGTAGCTTCACCGCCCGTGAGAGAATTGCAGTGATTCATTTAACGATTAAATGGAACTAATGTCATATACGTTTTAATTGGCGCGACGTTATCCGCATTGTACAACGTCGTTTATTGAATTAAACCAGCCGAGAATTCTTCTTTATTTTGCGACGCAAGAAAAGCAATCTCGCTTGCCAAAGTTGCGAAGCGATTTTTGATCAAAACGAGAAAATTGGAAACGACTCGAGTCAAGGCAGAGCCGATATTTCGAAATTATTCAATTACATTAACGACCAACGACCTTGCCTTCCCGTTTGTCGTGGCCGCTGCAGTGTCTAATTTCGTGAAATCTATCGCGTGCCAATAGAGCCAGCTCCCGCGGCCCCGTTCGGTCCATTTGTAATAATTAAAAATATCCACGGGCGCCGGACGACTACGTATTGTAAAATTTATATATACGTATCTCTAAATTACTTCGTACTTATTTTCGCGCGCTCCTTACGTTTTCCCAAATAGTGGATTTATTCTGCGAAAACAAGAGGCCAAATTCGGCGCGAACTAATCCCCTATTCAAAGAATTCCACGGTCTTTCTGAGGGATTTAATTCGAACCAGATCCTCCTCCTGAGAGGACGCGATGTGCGGAATCGCATTTAAACAGCTGATGGGATTTATCTCGCAACAGTATTCGAGGTACGTTATTTCACGTTCGACGAAACGTAAGTATTTAGAAATATCAAAACGCTTGAGAGAATAATTCCCCAAGCTGTTCCTCACTCAACGTGTGTCCGCAATGTTCCGCTACTAAACGCAAATTTCTTTGCAAATTCAAAGAAGTTCGATATTAACTGCGCGCGAATGTATATATTAACATTTCGTTATGGCAATGAGTTCCATCCTACGAATGTATCGTGTTTTCGTTAGACGTACTATAATAACGTATACCATAAATATGAAATAATTTTCATGCCGCCTATAATAATTCGATCGTTTAACCTTGAGCTATACACTGTCGAATTGCGCGAGTGTGTTACGTGCTCCGCGTAAATTTCAAACCGACGCCGCGCGCGTCGCCAAAACCATGAGTTTCGAATCCACCTGCATAGCCGCAGACGTAAGGGCGTAGCCGAACGTATGTTCACCTAATTTCACATGCAAATAAAACGTCTCCTTCGCTTTTATCGTGCCCGATGGAGAAGGTAAATATATGTATGTATGTATATATATCGCGTTATTTGCTTTATGACAAGGTCTGCATCTTTCGCTACAATCTTGTGTGACAAGGTGTACCGAATTTTTATCTAAACAAGCAATCTTCCCGGAGGAAAATTCTCGTCAGTAAACCGCGACTTTATAAAAGAAACCTTTGGTGGTTCCTCCTTCTGTCTCTCTGTCTTCCCCTTCCCTTCACCCCCTTTTCGCGAATCAATTCGATCCCTCTCTTGCGCACCGACTTCTCTCGCAAGGACTCGAGGCATTTCCGGAGTGATATTGCCAGTGACACGCATTGTCCCATTGTGACATGCAGCTACCCCTTTCCTCCATTTAACCGAGCCCTTCCATACTCTCCGCACCGCAACCGGGATGTTTTACATAATATTGAAAATGAACCTCTGGCTCGATGCCTGTGCACTCCCCGTATTTCATTCGAGGTATTCCCCGACGCTTCGATTCCCCCTCGGTCGTAGAGTATCGTTTCTCGTACGCAAAGAGGGCATACATTATCAAGTCTTGACCTTTAAAGTAAACCGGTTGCGAACAAGGAGTAAAATTGCGCGAACGACATTTACATAGAAATTATTGCATTAATCGTTAGCCTACGCCCGAAGATACGCCGTGTTTTGCGGGAATTACGTCCGAGAGATTGATGTAAAAAATGTTTAAATCATTCCTCACTCGCGCGGCACAATGTTGCGGTATGATCGCGAACAGCTGTGCAGATGCGATCTCGTCGAGAGTCGCGAGGAACGTCGAGAGAGTATATTATGAAAATTTATGATAATTCAACGAAATAATATTCTGTGTTTGCATTCATAAACGTTCATAAAAGACTCGAGCCTCTTTATCAGATAACCACGCGTTATCGCGCTGTTCTCCGCGCTTAAGTGACAAAAACAGCGAATTACGAGCGCGGTATCGGCCGACCGTTGTCGTCGTAATTCGTGCGATTAACATAATGTTACGCAATGATATCTCGCCGTTGGAAAACGAAGCGGATCATGAATCTCGCCGCGGGAAAATCGCAGTTTCACATGACCGCGAAGCAATTACATGGCTGTTCGCGCAAAACGACTGCCGCGATTGTTTCCGCGACCGAGCGCGTTTTCGTTCTCGAGGTGACCCGCGATGCAATCGTCCCGTCGATTATTTCCCGAAGACCTCACGGAGAGAACACGAATGTGCGCTCAAGTCGCTGCTCATTCCACCTATCAGGCTTACGTACCGTGCGTATCGAACTTCCTGATGATGGTCTCGATGATCGTAGTTCTGGGCGCCACATGACCTCGTCTAACAGGCATCTCAGGAGGATTCCCAGGTACCTGGGTAGCCGAGACTTTCGCGTGTCGACCGTGGGCACACACCGGGCCCCTCTATCAATTATATATATATATATATATATATATATTTGATATATATATATATATATATATATATATACGTATCGCGTGTAACACACTAAAGCACTAGGAAAACACTCGCGGCATACGCACGAGCACGGTAGAAAAAAGCACAGCACGAGTTGAGCATAATGATCAGCCGTATGTAAGACAGAGTAACGTAACGACTTGACTTCGCGGAGAAGGAGGAGAGAGATTCGTTGCTGCGGTCGGAGAACGAGCGGGATCTTCGTATGCGGTGATCCTCTCGTCCGCTTCCTTCTCGGAGTAAGAAAAAATGATGCGAAGCCTTGTTAAGCGAGAAGAATCCACATCCAGCTGGTTCTTTCGGTCACGTGCGAGAGAGACGTGCGATCGGGTGGCTTGTTCATCCGCGTCACCGAGGGAACACCGGTAGAGACGCGATAGTTGTTTTTCCGTCGCGGAATTCTCAGCTCGGCTTCGATGTTCCGAATAGACCGTCCGTATGTGTTCGCGTTTCGCCACGTTGAGGAGAGACGGCTCAATGTGTCTCTTATTCGCCGACTTTTGGACCCGAGTTCTCGTTTATCTAGGTATACATCTAAGGTCGGCGCGGACCGTCACGATTCCACCTTCCGTCGATCCAAGGACGCGGAGAAGGTCGAGCGAACGGCCGACATACGTGTCGCACGTGCTACGCGTTTGCCACTTCCAATGTGCGTCTCTCTCTTTCGCGCGCGGGCGCACGTGTGTGTGTTTCAAGAGACGCGATTCACGCGAGAAAAGTACCTATTTATAACGGAGGATGCGCCGTTTGGCCGGTGACTTCCAGGACTTCGCGACTTCCCGGCTAAGGCCGTGGAACTTCGTTCTGTGTCACGCGTTGTCGGCGACTCAGCAGCTACGATAACGTTGACTTCGTCACTCTCCGACGTCCGTCCACGCCGCGATTCGTCATGCCTCGCCAACAATATTTCATTATCGTCGGCTGGAGCGACAGATACTCGGTATCACGAGGCAGATGACCTAATGCAGCCGGAAGGTACTAGCAGCGCGACAGCTTCGGGATGTTCCGCGGCCGCCGACGATGCGGGTCACCGGCCTCGAGATTTCAATCCTCAAGGAGTTCCTGCTCACGGACGCAACTCCGCGGATGTAGTTCGACCTCATGGAATCGAAGTCAAACTTGGCGACGAGCGAGATCGCGGATTGTACTGGACGTCTGAGAGAAGCGCATGGCTCGGACATTTCCACGACGTCGTCGGACGAAGCCTCCTCCGGGATTGTTCGATCGCTCGAGCGCTGCTCGATGTCGCGCGGATGAGTCAAGGGCGTCGCGATGTCCGAGGTAGACGGGCGATGTCCACGGTTACGACGGGGAAGGCACGTGGTGTGTTTGCAGTCGAGTTTACGTGGAATGCCGCGATCGGATCGATTCCTCTGCTGGTCGTTCTAACGCGAGTCGCTACGCTCGTCGACGCTAATCGAATGTCCGACTACCTGTATTTCTCGCCCTCGCTACCTCTCTTCTGACCCCCTTCTCTCGTTCTCTCTTTTTTTCGCTCTCTCTCTCTCTCTCTCTCTCTGGCGCTCTGTCTGATGGTCAGCTGTGCATCTCCGCTCAACCACGGGAACAGCTATTTTTGTACTTCTTCCTCATCCTCCGCGACCATGCCCGACCACCGTCGTCGCGGATCCTCCCAGGACCCCCCTCGGCTCATACGGCCACGCCGAACCCCGTGAGAGCCGCCGCATGCGACGCTGGTCGCGAGTCGACGATGTAGCGCGCGTCTGTGGATCAAACCGTGATAAAGAGCTCTACCGGGAAATCGGCGAAGGTTTTCGGATGACACATAATAATTCGAAGAAGTGAACCACACTACTTCGCCCTTTCTTCTGTGCAATCTCGTCCGTATTTTTCACAAAACTATCCTACCGATACTCCGATTCACCAGCACGTCTCGCGGATGACTTCACTATCAGTCCCATTCTTTACGTGGTTTCGCGCTTATCTCGGTGCTATCGTAAGCACGTATATGCACGTACGCACGCGAACGACCCACCACGCCTTCCCAGGCCGACAAACCGAATCGGCAGAGATACGCACGACGATGCCCTCTCGCTGACCCCGCGAACTCCTCGACCCTCTCGGGTTAGTTATCGTCGTCGGTGGAGACACCTGGTTGCCTCCTGTGCCGTCTCCAGCCGGCGCACTCCAGAGGAAGGTCGCCGAACACTGTTGCTCCGCCGCGTGCTCGTAACCTCCCTCTACCCCGTGTCGTCGTCGCGGGCGCACGAGGGGCGTCTCGAAGGCTGATTCGAACGGCCGATGACAACGTCGCGAGCCCGAGGACGCGTCGCGAATCTTTCTCTCGCTCGGGGCTTATCCGTGTGTCGCGAGTTTCGCGAGTTTTGCCGTCGTGTTCGGTCGGAGAACTGAGAACGCGAGAGGAGGCGCGAGACGGGCCGACGTCTCTCTCTCGACGACGACGACGGCGGCGGCGACGGCGGCAGCGACGACGACGACGACGACGCCGGCGACGTCGGTACGTAACGGGGGGGGGGGGGGGGGGGGGGGGGGGGCTTGCGGGGGGATCACATCCCCCCCCCGGGNNNNGGGGGGGGGGGGGAGGGGGGAGGTCGGCGCTTGCGTGGTGATCACATCCCCACCCAGGGTCACCTACCACACGACCATGCCTCCCTGTCGCCCTGTCCGACTACTCCATCCACCCCCGCGCGGCGTCTACTGATAATATTGATAAGGCTGCATACAGACCGACCACCTTCCTCGTCGGCGCCCTTCTGTCTTCCGGACGAGGGCGACGACGAGCTTCGGGGTCGCGCCGATGGTACGAGTTACATGTACGTACAGGCCAATCTACGAAGACGTAACAACGTCACGCGTCGCGCAGCCGGATTTTATTTCCCGTTTGTTGCTGCATGTCGCGAAATGTTACGAAAGTTATACATGTGAAACGGTATTACAAAAAGTGAATTTTGAGATCATTTTTCCACGCGAAAATTCAATCGGAACGTCATCTCTCTCTCTCTCTCCCCCGTAGCTTTTGAAGCATCATCGGAAAAGGAAAATATTTCGCTTGAATCAAAAGTCTGGTTAAAAACCGCCGAAAGCAATACGAGAAGCAGAATTTTGTCATTTCTACATTTCTCTGTAGTTTGATATGTGGAAAGATCTATATCCTTAAAGCCTAGTTTTTCATTTTCTGGTTAACTTGTGATTTATAACCTGATGATATAAAAATCATGTTTTTCTATTTATAGTTAATCATTGAATTTTTAAAATTACCACTATAAAATAGTTTAATGATTAACCATGGATAGACAAACACAATTATGCGTTACATCAGTTTAAATTTAAATCACAAGTTAACTAGAAAATGAGGAACCGGATCTAAGAGTGATGTTGATTGTTGATATCTCGTTTCAGTTCCAAGATTATAATGATTTTAATTCAGAGACTGTGTCGTCACAAAGCAGTCTATATATATACATACATACATACATACATACACGCGAAAGATACTTGACACCGATGATCGTGATATAGTGTGTTGATCGTATTTCTTATTCTCGCTATGCGATCGTTCCTACTTTTATCTAATCGTGCTTAACATAACATAAATAAATAAATATTTCACACGCTTGAAAATAATAAAAATAAAAGGCCAGCTATCGCAATAATAAATTCACATTTATTATGCTGGAAAAATTATCGCAGGATATAAAATGTTATTTTATGAATATAAAGCTGACGTTTTAATAGTTTTGTAAAATGATTGCAAAATTAATAAAAGAAGTGCGATCTGCGCATATTTAGGCAGACAATTAAAAATATATTTCTCTGCTGTTAATTTGCATATTACGAGTTACGTCAAATCGCATATTTGCCGGCATGATAAGAACTTTAATCGGCCGGAATTTCAACTAGCAACGTGTGATGTCCACGTTGCAAATTGATAGCACTACTTCGTGGACATGGCGAACTCTATCGGCACACATCGGAGTTATAGGCGTCGTCGATAACGTCGGTTAAGAGAATTGTCGGTAACAGAAGAGAGTTTTAGTAATCGATAGTTGCAATTCATGACTTTATCAACGGCTCACGAATATCATCTGCTGTATCGAACTTCCAAAGTGTATTATTAAATATATCATAAAAAATCAGCCGAAGCATGTTCAGACAAGCTCAGGACATATCAATGGCCGCATTTCGGCAGAACGTTTATGTTACAACCGTTGAAAGTTTTCTGTGCTGAAATTGAATTATTCTAGATCTAAGAGAATAATTCCAATCTCAGCTCAGAAAACTTCCAACAATTGCAAAATAAATGTTCTGCTGAACGTGGCCAATGTCACACGCGGGATCACATTCCGTGTAGACGGCAAATCGACATGTTTGAATACTCGATCGTTTGCAGTATGCAAATATTCACACGTTATATTCACTCGTTATGTGTGTCAGTACATCTTTGAGTATTAACAGCTACCGCGCGCAGCATTAATATAGCTCTAGAAGATCGTGACAAGTGTCGAAAGATATTAAACTTTGCCGTGCTCCGAAATGTCTACTGGACGCCATTACGTGCAAAGTATACAATCACGTAGCGCTTACTTTTCGAGCAGTCGCAGGTGTCCGAAACGTCTCCGCCGGCCGTTCATCTTTCGTCCGAAGCACACATGGGCCACCATCCCGCGGGTGTTCTTTCTCGCCGTGACATTCGCGTAATTCGCTCGAGTTGACTAGAAAACGCGACCCGCGAAACGGGCTCTGCGTTCGGCGCCGGGTCCGTTTCAAAACTAATGTAGCCGGCGCCGGCAGCGCTCGGCAATCTTCGGCAGCTAGCGCTGCGGTTCGTGGCCGTACGGGGTTCACGAGAGTCGAAGCACGGAGCCCCGCCCTGCCGCCCGCCAGAGCCGTGAAGGAGCAGCAGCAGCAGCAGCAGCTCCGTTTGCTTCGAGCAGTTTTCGTGCCGTCGAATGAAAACAATCGTCGACGTTCGTTCGAGCGCCGCCACCGTCGTGCATCTTGAGACGTTAAAGCGCGTCGCACCGTCGCTACTCGCCGTCGTGCATATCCTCGTGAGCGCGTAGTCGCGATAACCGTACGTCGTCGTCGCGGTACCCGTCGCGACGGTTAACCTTAAAGGAAGCGGCGGGTGCGGTAGTAGTGGGCCCCTCCGAGGCAGGCCAAGTAAACCCGTCGTCGGTGCGCCCGTCAAGGGTGATCACGGCGGAGAGGTGTGACAAGGGAAGTGCATAGTCATCGATGTGAGAGCTGAGGACGACGAGAAAGAGCCGCTGGCGTAGAGGGAGCGAGAGAGAGAGAGAGAGAGAGAGACAGCGGAGAGGTAGAAACATCAGGCCGACGATCGAAGCTCCGTCAGGGAGCACCAGGTACGTGATATAGTCATACTTTGCATTCCGAACTTTCCGCGACTTCCGGATGCGCTGTATTCCAGCCGCCGAGCCGGCCCGGCCCTTCGCGCGACTCGATAGCCAAGAACCAACATGGCGGCCGTCTAGGCCTACGCTGTCAAAATCTTTGCTTGCCGTTATTTCGACCGTACGCCGTCCCGGCGTCATGACGCCGATTCCGTCGCGAAGGCGAGCTTGCCGGGCGTCGTGGAGTGCGCCGAAGAGATACCGCGTCGTAAAGTCGCGTTACGTCGCGCGAAAGCCACCGTCTCGGCGCACGCGAGAGCGAGTGAGAAAGCGAAGGAGAAAGAGTGTAGAGTAGAGAGAGAGTGAGAAGGAGATAGGTAGGGCGAGGGAGGGAGGGAGAGAGCGAGCGCGAGCGACTCGTAACGCTTCGATTTCACCTCGTTTCTTGTCGTCTGCCGTAGTATACGACGTCGTGGCGCTTACATTCATGACACACGTCTCGACGTTTGCATGGTTTCATCGACGTCGCTTGACGTCCCGACGAGATGAACTCATCGCGCGGTGCACGAACACGCCGAAAATAGATCAAACGTCGCAATTATGCTGACGTCTGGATGCATTATCGATGGAATCATTGATCGGGTGCGAAGCTCTTTCTCTCTCTCTCTCTCTTTTCGCGAGCGAGATCCACGAGCGGACACGCGATGCGCGAATTTCCAGGGGCTCTCGAAAAGCGCACAACTCGCCGCAATGAGTCAGAGCAGGCGCGCGAGCGATAACAAGACTCTTCCTGCGTCTCGCCCAGCGACTTTCCTCGTTTGAAGGATTTTCGCGAGGGTCGACTGTCACTTTTACCTTGTAACACCGGCTTCACGCTCTTTCGCGCTTCTAAAATTAACCGAATTTTTTTGCCACGAACCGGTACTGATTCTGATGCCGTTAACGATTGAGAAGAAATTATTCGAAGTCATAATTTACTTGTTCAGTCTTTAACTCTTTCATCGTATATTTCTGAAAAGTCGCTTGTATCACATGCAAAGTTGTATTGACCCTAATGATTTTCTAAATTCTTGATCTGAAAAACTGTAAAAGGAAATAGGTTGATAAAATTTAGAATAATGTGCAAATTTTCTACTTTAATATTTGATTATGCATTTATGGAAAATCAAGTTTTAAGTTATTGAGAAGAATATTCAAATTTTCGACGCACTTCTCTTCGTTATAGTTTTTCAAACACAACTTACTGAGTCTATCTTACTCATAATACGGTCGAAAGGTTCTCTCAAGAAACGCGTTAACGTTCCTACAGGTCGAGTTTTCGTACTGAGAGCTGAGAAGTTCTGTCATGAAAGAATAACACGTTGCGGAATGTCCTGTACAATGTATTCGAGAGGGTTGTGCGCGATCGAGGCTCGAAATTGCGCGAGAATCAACGCACTCGGCCTCGGGAATGTTTGCGCGTACGGATACACCGGTTCTCCTTCGGCGACGCAAGACCAGTGACGTCTGTTTGACGACGGCACGGGTTATCTCGCGGTGCACAATGCGCGTAACGCGAGTCGCCTTGCATAATATACGAGGCTCCCGCGAAAACAAAGTTCGCGCCTGTTCGGCGTAACCGGCGAGTTAGGTTCTCGCGTTGTGAGAACGCGAAGAGATCGGCGCAAGAACATCTATTGTTCCTTGCGGTGCGCGAATTCATTGCGAATACGATTGTTGTCGACTAAACTTTGTAGCGAGAGTGACGAGACCTCGATGCTGCTTAATTCTCTGAATGCGGTGGGATTAAGTGTCCGACGCAATAATTAATTTCGACTTGAGACTCGGATTAATTGTCAAAAATATCGCAAGTTTTTTTTTTATTTATTTGTTTATCATATAATACAGTGACTACAAATCAATTTTCAAAATATTTTCCCTTATTTTCTATAACCTTCTGCCACCTTTCGGGCAACTGTGGGATTTTTTCACGAAAGAAAGACATCGGTTTGGAAGCAATGAATTTATTGAGTCATTTTTGTATTTCTGCTACATCTCGAAAGCGCTCTCCTGTTAAGGAGTGCTGCATCGACCGGAATAGGTGATAATCCGAAGACGCCAGGTCGGGAGAGTACCGCGTGTGGAGGAACTTCCCAGCCCAAGTTAATGATGGCTTATTGATTGATGGTGGTCTGAGCAACGTGTGGCCTAGCACTGTCGTGCAGCAAAAAGCTTTCCGACTCCCTTGCCTAGTAAATAGTCTTTTCCCCTCAATTTTGTCGGCCAAATCATTCAATTGTTGACTGTAGCGTTTTGAGACGGGTTTTCATTCAACAACGCTTCCAAATTGTCGATCTCAAGCTTTCATGGCGTTCCAGAGCGCGGTCGATCACTCACGTCAAAATCACCGTTTTTAAAGTGATGAAACCAATATTTGCATGTATTGTGGGACACAATATTTTACACAAGAACATTGTTTCCCAATATGCATGTTTTCCAAACTTGCTTTAGCAGTATTTTTTTCTTATTGTTGGAATTTATATCGAATGCAGTGTCGAATATGAAGTTTTTCGTCGCTCATTATATCAACTATTATTTTTAAGGTTACATGCATCATTGAATCAAAATGATGGCGTTTTAGAAAGTTCAATACCAACCTTACAGAAACATAAAACGACGAGAAAATATTTCAATTTAAAATAGTTACGTTAGAGGGCTGAAAAAAACTAAAACTTTTGCATACACCTAATATTATGAGCATAGTTTATAGAAATGGCGAACATGAATTATAAAAAGCAATTGTGGTTCGTTTGCTTCTCAATCGGATTAAGATTACTCTTTGCCCGATAATAGCACTAATTTCTATTTCACCTCTCGCTAAATATCGATTTTGAGAATGGAAAGCGTGATGCAACACAAAGTCTCTGAATTTTCTTACACAATGACTGATGCTTACGTTTGATTTCTGTTAACGTATACGTGCTGAACTTGCATTTCATCAGGTAATCGATATTTTCTACGGTACGAGCGACTCGACATCGACTAAAAATAATTTACATTGAACTACATTTATGCAGTTTAAAATTCAGTTCCGTGATCCTCCGTTATTTTAACACGCTAATGAGCTTTCTTTGAATCCCGCGAATTATCTGATTGCCTTTTCGGGAGCGTGAAAATTTTGACGTCGGGCGGATATCCGGAGAGCACCCTTTCCGCCGCGATGATTAGCTTTATCATTAGGGCAGATAATGTTTCTTCTTTTCTCTTCACTGTTATTGCCGCGGCTTTTATCGCGAAACTTCAACGATCGCCTCACCTACGTCCATTGGAGTCACGCAGGGAAAATGACCAATAGCGAACAAAAAGAGAGACAGGAAGAGCACGGCAACTCGCGTAGAACTTGGAGAGAGCGAGAGAGAGAGAGAGAGAGAGATGGCCTTTGACATATCTGCAATGATAAACATCAAACCCAGTGGTCTTAGGCTAACGACCGTAATAAGTGAGACCGAAAATAGCGGCGAATGGAAAAGTAGACTGGCAAGAAACAGGCGAGCGTAGCGCGTTACAGGTGTCGCGTTATTGAGATTATTGAGGTTTACTTTCACAACTAAGGACTAAGGAGGGTAAGCGGCCAGCATCCGATCCTGAGGGGAATAAAGCGGGGAAAGAAGCATGTTACGACGCGTCGCGTTCCGTCTTGCGATTGGTTGGCCAATTGATGCGGCAGCTGTCTTAATCGTCTTTAATTGCTTCGGAATATAAAGTCGTCGCTGAAGACAAGTGGCATCTTCAGCTCAATTGACAGCGTTCCACTTGAGACTCGTCAGCGATGATATCTGTGTTATCGATATACTCTCCCGATTGGTCGGTTGGGCATTTGACATACGCTCATGTATATTCGTGCAAACTTCCTGGTCTACATTACGGCGGGACATTCGGGTGAAACTCACTTTCCTGTAAATTAATTTACGCAAGTTTGAAGCATCCGTTTCTCACAAAAATATCGCCACCAGTCAATCGGTCAGTCACGCCTCTCCAATCGAAAGAGAGTCTTTCGCGCCGCGAATTGAATATTGTTTTCGGTCCCGCGACTGCGATACTTGCATAGGAGGTTAAACTTGTCCGGGACTGTCGTTGCTCTACTCGTGCGGTCTCGTATAATTTCATCGCGGCAGATAACGTCACGTGCGCGCCGAACGGCGGCGACAAGCTCACGCAGATGTGCCTCTCCGATAGAAAACACACCAGAGCCCCTTAATAACGATCGTGGTTTACAGGACGGTTAGTAGGTCGCGCTACTTAGCCAATGCGAAAGGGTCAATGTATTCGAGCTGGATGATGCGTCCCTCCGTTAAACCCCTCTTCAGTCGCCCCGCAGCCCTCTTTCCTCCCACGGGCTCACGTCCTGTTCCTTCACCGCGTCCCTCTCACATCATGACCGTCCCTATCAACGACGGTATCGTAACTTCTGCTGCGTCCAACGAGCGAGAAGGCGCAAAACGAGCAACGACAAAAAAAAAGTAGAAATAAAAAAGCGGATTGTTGGTTTAGCAGCAGTTGGTATTCGTCAATTTCTTCCCTACGTTGAAATTCAATTTAAATCGTACAAATTGGATGATCGTCCACGTCCTTCCATGGGATTCGGAGCGCGCTCGTGAACTTAAATGTTTACATGGCGACTGTCACACGCGATAACGTTTCGTGCTCGATCGTACGAATCATCGAGTTCCTGGGACACTGGCGCGTCGTTGGCATTTAAACAAAAAAAAAAGTCTCGTGGATATGCTATATGCGGCAAGCGATTCTTGGCGCATTTAATGACGTCACTCGACTGCGTTAAACTAGGACAGAGTTTAACACGAGGTTCTCGGTATATTCGAATGCGATAAAAGTAAGCCGGGACGCGCTTACAGTCGGATTTGGTCCTTTGCCATCCGGCTGTCTCCGGCGATTTCTCTAAATCCGACTGACGTGTGTCTTCCGTGTCCATGGTTAGTAGAAATCCGTCGCGAAAGCCGTCACCTCGGACTTTC